AAAAAAAAAAAAAGGAGAAAATAATGCCCACGCTCAGAAGGAACGAGCCATCTCTCTGGATAAAGAACTTTGGGAAACAGAGCAAATTTGCAGATTCCATTATACAAAAGAAATCCACATAGAAGTCAGCCATGTCCCCAGAAACCTAGCTTGTGAAACGTTTCTGTAAGAGAACAGGGTCCTCCAGATGGACACCTCAGTATAATGTAAGGTTATTCTTGTCACCGGCTCTCAGGTACTTTCAAGGAAAGGAATGGAAGTGGCTTCGGTTAGCCAGCATGGGAGACACAAAGGGTGCTGCAGAATGCCACCTGGAAACCTCACCCTGTGGCAATCCAGCCATACACGTCCCTCCCGTGGGAAACTGCACTTTCACATGACCAGATAGACATACTGCATGCAGGATGTGCGATGCTGTGTGACCCCCCCCACCCGGGGCTGACAGCAGGACAGATGACGTCTCAGCATTGCCGCATCCTTAGGTTTCACACACGTGGACCCACACTGATGCTGCAGGCAAGCACGTGGTCACAGCCTGGGCTTCTGAGGGGACGGGCTCCCTCCTAAGAGACGGGAAACCGGGGGGGATGTCTGGGGCGCTCATCTGGCCTCCCCTCTCCCCCAAACCTTTGCTACGCACACTGTGAGACCGATGTCCCTGAAACTGCGTTTTCATTCTATTTGTAACTACCAACGGCAATCTCTGACAGTGTCACGTGTAAATGCATGTGCGTAGCTGGTAAGACCCTTCTTAACCCCAGATGCCTGGGAGGCGGGTCTTCTCACGGCCCCTCCGGTTCTCGTTGCCCGGACTTCCTTTCATGCAGTATGTTTCATGTGTTTCACATGGAATTGTGCCAGGAAGAGGGGCACAAGCTGAGCCCTGCCATCTAGAGACTCCAAGTGCAATGCAGGAAATAAGCAGGTAGGGGACAGGCTACGCAGCTGCGAGGAAGAACGCGGGAGGGCGCCGTGCTGGAGTGAGTGGACCGAAAAACCCCGCTTTGAGCGCAGTGAAGGCTTCCAG